AAAACACACACACACATACACCAAAATATGCATGCTCTCTTTTGGCAGGCAACTCATACTTATAGTAGTCAGAAGTTGGTTGAGTATTATTATAGGCTATTATAATTAAATTTTAGGCTTCAATCTGGGACATATGCACTCTCCACATACTACATTACTGTGCTGGCCCGCAATTGCTTCCCAGAGAGGCGAAAAGGCACCCTAGCATGATGGCGTTACAGCTAACTCAGAAAGGTTGCAATCGCTAAGAAAATTTTGGACTGGCTCTACCGAAAAAGGGCAGCTCCATTCGGCTTTGAATATCTTAAGTTTAGGTAATTGCTTACCCACATGAACTAGATCCAAGACATAATGGTACCTTGCACTTTCCGAGATAACTTAACATGTTCCGTGCATTTATACTGGTACATCCTTTAATGATAATGCTCTCTAAGAAAGGCATGTGCTCGAGAAAGGCTTGGCTGATATTAGATGTATTGTGTGAAAGATCAAGGCGTCGTACATTTAAGCATAAAGAAAGGCACTTCTTTATGAAGCCATCCGCACTATAATAACGGACTTCTTTTTAGGAATGTCTTAAACCTGGCTCTTCGAAATCACTTGCACGCTTCATAATGAATTCAAAAGACTGAATAGAAAATTCTGCGTTGAATTCTAATTTCCTCCAGAGCTCCTTGTTCGAATAAACAGTTGTATGGAAACGGCGTGGCACCGTGCCAATGCCTGATAGATTTTCTTGTATGGTCAAATGGCTGAGGATCTTTCTGTCGGAAGTTCGTTTAAGGACCGGTGGCTCCGGAGATCTGAGTTAGATTGAAGAAAGAAGGCCGTATGAATTTCAATGAAAGTAAGCAAGGATCCAAAGCAGGCCTTTTAAAGGTAGCACAATCTTAAAAAGTTGACAACTTCTTTCACGGGGAAAGATCACAACAGAGGTGATTTCTAACGTACCTTGGGTCCCAACGCTTCTTTAGCGGGGCAGCTCTCATCACTGGCGTTTTCTTCGTGTCAAGTGCTTGCTCCATGTTGTTCGACTTCACTGGTGGAACCGGCAGTTGCTGAACTGCTAAATCCCCAAATTTCAAAACGAAAGGGATTCAATTTATCTCTTTATATTAAAATTGACCTAAAAAGCATCTCAGTGAAGGTCCTCTTACCGTTTTCGAGTAAAAAAACTGTTGAGTTGACGCAGCATTTTCGAAGCGAACCGAACAGAGGC